AAACTCAAGGTTTTGCACAAACCTTTTGCAAGTGCTTTCTTTGATTATTAATTCCTGGCACACCTCCTAGCTGCATTTCATTCGTGTYATAGAGGGTGAGCTTACCAGAAACAAACATTTGCTTCACATGTACACTTGGAAGAAGCCGGTCGATTTGTCGATCACTCAGACTACTGACATAAAATACCATATACATTTGAAATAAAACTTAAGACGCCCTCAACCTGTAAAATGAATTATTTTCTTTGAGCCCCCTCATCTTTAAATCAATTTTACTTCATGCCCCCATTGTGGTTTTTCAACCCCCCTGTTGATAATTACAGCATAGTCCCTATGAGATGAACTCRAGTGGATTTGACGTACGTAAGACTAAGAAGTAAAGAAATAAATATGAGGAATGGAGAAAGAAGGTCACCTACAGTCATTACACCACCTTACATATATGACTTATTTCACTGGTCATTTCAGTGCTGTCACGTGACAAACAGCTATGGAGTAACTGCTGCAACGTGGCACTGATCATAATCACGTTACGGCCATGTTCAGCATTCAAATAGTTATTTCTTCAGTCATCGGTATACCGTTTTTGCTACAATATACTTGAAAGTCAATGACATGGTGTGCTTGTTCTGATTTGTCAATTCCTTTTAAAACAGCTTTCCTGTTTTTACGAAGGTATAGCATCATGAATTACTACTGAGTCGCGTGATCGAAAAAGAGTGGGACCTGCCAAAACAGGCTGCATTAGCTAGTTGGACTGTGGTTTTATCCAAGCTGATTTGRTTGTGTTTCCCGTTAACCTTAACTCCAGTAATACAAAATTCCTAGTTTAATGCAGACATACGATACGGTCTTAGACCATTGCCGGTTACCCACGGGTACCCGAGTTATCGAGCCCCGGTGAGGGGTTAAATTGCGAAGCAAAGACTGAAACGATCGTTTTCTCGCTGCTAGCACGGCTTCAAATTAAATTAAATACTTTGCGTAAGCCTCTAGAACCAGATGGTAATTGATCATCGGTGTCAGCACTTTACGTGTTGTAACTTTGCYCTTCGAGAGTGAATAAACTCGGTCATTGATGAAGTTCGGGGCTTTCAATTTAATACTCCAGTTTCGASTTCTCTTTGCTCAGTCTTAGTCTCGTTTGTGCGCTGTATGCTTGTACGATATATCATAGTTAACTATGGATATATCAGCTTTCTTTTGGTCATCTCCTCTACGTGTTCACTGGATCAGAAATATATAGAACCTCGAGTGCTTGCCGATGGGTGCCACGTACACGTCAAGGGTACAGGCCTCCGTTATCAGATGTTATTATAAAAATAAAATCATTTCATCAACATAGGCTAATTTTTCCTTCTGTGTTTACAATAGAAACAAAGACACATCGATTTTTGTACGGGTTGTTTAAATAATCTTGYCTCCCACAAAGATTTCTCTTCAAGGGTCGCCCTTTACCTAATTCATCTCTGACTAATGATAATCGCGGGGGTTTAAGTCCGCCGGCGCATGTACAGCCTGTGTTTGGTCGATGAAAAACCTTGTCTTGAACTATTGCAGTCGGTTAGAATAGGAGTTTTTCTTGCGCAACATATTATCGTAGGGAGAAGGGCCGTGGGAAGCGGCAGTTGTACACAGGCTATGGGTWTTCTACTGATTTAGTAACATACAAATAATGCATATCTGGTGTCACGCACTTTCAAAATTGTCAGATTCTAAGGTGATGAACATTTTATGGTACAAGCGCTAGACGACGGATTTCCGCTTGTTAAAATGAAAGTATACATGCTAGTGCATGCTTTCCCTTCGTTTCACGAATTTACGATTATTTACGGCTATTCTTTTTCATCCCTGGCCGTTTTCTAACTGATGTTACTGTCCCACCCTCTCACGAGTCAYTCAGATCAAATGATATATATTCACTACTATGATAATGCTTAGGTCAACATACGCCTCCAAAGAAAATGCCATAGAAATWAAATTTTTCTGTACTTTATAGCCATAAATAATAATCCCAGGGAAAAAATAATGTTTTTTCTACTTCGAAGCACACAAAGTAACGCCGTCAAAGGAAAAGCTAATAGTGGAAAAAAATATGAACTGAACACAATCAAACCTGAAACACACATGTTGGCTGTAAAAATAAACAATATGTACGATGCAATTTCGGTGTTTTTATTGATATGGTTTTTTGGTGGTCGTCTTTAGATAGGAAAACGCAAGTGGCTCAAGACACRTTGAAATTATAATTTGAATATTCTCTCGCTTAGTAGTAAAGTGCGTTATTTCGAGTGGGTAGAGGTTGCCAACGAAATACAAGATTACTAAACAGGAAAAGACCTCTGCAGGGCAGGTATTTTCCATYTACCAACCAGCATTTTCTGCTGTTGTTGATGAGTCCAAGTCCATTTTCCCTGAATGATYCTGTCACCCTGCGAGCTCCTTGTGACGATTGATGAAACCGGTTTCCAAAGAGCTTAAGAGCTTCATGGTCTCTGTGTTGTAAAAAAAGCTCACGTCAAATAGATAGATTTTACTAGTACAAAGGAAAACCGAGTCCTATTCAAAGGTACGCAGTTTTTGGACAAAAGGCGCCTGCAAGTTGATCGACTTTTAATAGAATCTTTTTCAGTGCATATGATTCATTTCATGACTACCTTTCGCTTGGCTCCCGCTCAGTTCTAATATTCCCATTTTAATCACACCAATGGATGAAAAACATCAGGAGTAAAAGTGGTTTGACTAATCGGATTCAGAAAAATTATCAAACACAATTCTATCTTCATTTSAAAACTGCTTATATGAATGTTCATTATCATTCAGGTAGTTCAAGAGACCATGAAGTCTCTGGATAGTTTGATTCTTGTGAAATTAKTGGTCTGAATGAAGTATTATTAGACTAAATAGATCTTAAATAGATCAACATGCGAGTTGAGCGTTGTGTGCATA